TTGATGCAGACATGAGCGATGTGCGGTCAATGGTGCAAAAGGAGTATGGTACAGTTCCACCCTTGAGAATCGGGACACCTTACGCACTCACACCCCTGGATGGGAATCAGTAATTAAACAACACGAGTATTGGGATTGGGCCTCACTTCTAGTTCCTGAAGGTGGTACACCAGTGCTTTTTTCCCCTAGAGTGTGGCTTACAAGGCATTCATTCCTACTTCTCCAACCTGGTGTCCCAGAGCAAAGGGAACCCCAAGGTGCTGTTTAACACCAACAGCAGTATTGTCTCCCCTGCCTCTCCTACAGCCTCCATCCGCTCTGTTGCAGACTGTGAGAACTGTCTGTCTTTCTTTGTGGACAAAGTCAGTAAGGTTAGATCTAGCATCTCCTCTTCAGCCTTATCGTCGCCTCTCCCGACTCCAACCAGGCCCATCATCCTAGATAGCTTTGCTCCTGTTTCTTTGCCTGAGTTAACCAAACTAGTTAACTCTATGAAGACCTCTGCATGCCCCCTCGACATCTTACCCTCATCTTTGTTTAAAAGTGCTTTTCAGTCCATCGGTCCCAGCGTGCTCTCTATAATGAATGCTTCTCTGGTTTCTGGTCAGGTCCCTGCTTACTTTAAGAACGCTGTAATCCACCTGCTTCTTGAAAAACCGAGTCTCGACCCCTCTCTCCATAGCAGCTTCAGACCCACCTCTAAACTTCTGTTCATCTCCAAGAACTTGGAAAAGGTTGTGGCTAAACAGCTCACTGCTGCTCTTGATGAACATAACATCTATGATAGCTTCCAGTCAGGTTTTTGTAGAGCTCATTCTACTGAAACAGCTCTTCTTAGGGTCTCTAATGACCTTCTGACTCACAGTGATGCAGGGGACTGTTCTGTTCTGGTCCTGTTGGACCTGACTGCAGCCTTTGACACTGTTGACCATCACCTGCTACTGGAGAGGCTGAGAGACTGGGTAGGCCTATCAGGAACTGCTCTGGAGTGGTTCTCCTCTTCTCTTTCTGAGCACTCCTTTTCTGTGGTCGTCTCCAACTTTTGGTCCTCCACCACCTCTCTTACCCATGGTGTCCCACAAGGTTCTGTGCTGGAGCCTCTGCTCTTCCTCCTCTATCTGCTTCCTCTTCAGCACATCCTGAGCTCCTTCAAAGGAATCTCCTACCATCTTTATGCAGATGACATCCAACTGTACATCTCCTTTAAGCCCCATGAGATGTCTAAGCTGCAGCTGTTACACACCTGCTTAGACTCTATCAAAACCTGGATGGCTGGGAGCTTTCTTCAGCTGAATTAAGATAAGACTGAGCTCTTTATCTTTGCCCCAGACAAGCTGGTTCCCAAAGTCAGAGACTCTCTTGGTCAGCTTGCTTCTCACACCAAACCTTCTGTCAGGAATCTTGGCGTGACCTTTGACCCAGCTCTCACCCTGGATTCTCATGTCAGTTCTCTTGTTCGCTCTTCCTTCTTCCATCTCAGGAACATTGCTAAGCTGAGTCCCATTCTGTCTCGGTCTGAACTTGAGACATTTATCCACACCTTCATCTCCTCACGCTTATACTACTGTAACTCTCTTTTCATGTGTCTGAGTAGAACCTCCCTGAACCGTCTACAGGTGGTTAGAAAATGTGTCTAAAGGAGGTTGGAGTCCAGTTAAATGCAGCCATGTAATACGGGGCAAACGTTCATCTCCTGTCTCAGATAGTGCATTTACTTTTGTGTCTTTTGTATTTCAGAGACTTTTTAACACAAACATATTTGTTCTTCATTCTCCTCCACCTCTCCATGCACTCGCCACCTCTAAAGCCACGTTTCCTGTCATGTCTTCCATGAATAAAATGCTTGCTGCATATCTTTACACTTCTCCAGTCACAAGTGAATAAAAAGTTCATATTTGAAAAGTTTTTCCATGAGGTATTCTTCAAGCTCCTCTGTGTCTGCCACTAGATATCTTCCGTTCTCTTTATGTTTTTGAGGGTACAATGGCGGTGCTGTGGACGAAAGCGGCGTCCTGACCAATCACAAGCTTGCGTTCTCCATCTCGTTTGATGGATGTTTAAAAATAGTGGGCTGGACTCCATCCGTCCTTGCGAGCCTGCTGGAGAGCCTTCACAAGGTCGGATAATGGTGTTGCTTGTCTCCACACCGACGCAGAAGCATTAACTTTAGCCATCAGCTGTGGCTGATTCAAAATCAACGTGAAGCAGAGTTTTAACATGAAGAGGGAGGAATATAATAAGTAGCATTAAACTTCCTAAATAATGACTATACGTCTACAGCACTGATAGACGCCATGCAGGTTATCAGCACAAAAAAATGTTGATTTATGTGTTACTCAGTCTTTAAATTTGAAACATTACACTCAAACAAACCACACATAATTCTCCTAATGTATTTTTGATTAATGAGACCAACGTGTTGACTTTTGTTATTTTGGATACTGTCATGTCTGCTAAAAATCAACACCAGGCACAGTGAGGTGCTAATGATTTCCTTCTCATCCTGACCCCACATTGTGTAGAATACAAAGTAATTTAGAGTCAAAGGTGAGACTATCTGACGGACAGCTGAAGCTTAGACTACACTGGATCAGTGAACAGGCCAATGATCTCACTGATGCTTATCTCTGATCATTTCCACAAACAAAATACAACATTAAATCTGCTTGATTTAAAGTAATACAGCCAGTGCTGGTTTGAGGTTATTTTTGTGATGTGTGATCTGCTCTGCAGGAATACAGCCATTGCTCCGCTAGACTTACTGTATATTTGAAAGGAAACTACCATGGCAGCAGAGAATATGCAAATGTGTGGATCAGCTGTACATAAGTGAGAAAAAAAGAGGTTTTTCATGAAGTGCAAGGAAGAGAGGAGAGAGGAGCAGGAGCATCAAGTGGAGAGGAGAGAAGAGCAGAGAATCCCTGGAATACCAAACATTTCTCCGACAGGGAGAGAAAGCAGGGAGTAGAGGAAGGGTTGCTGTGAAAGGTGGAAGGCATCCCTGGAATACCAAAGACAGTGGAAATAGTGGGAGACTTTTCAAACCATTCTTACATCAAATCTAAAGTTGTTACAGATTGTTAAAAGCAAACATTTCTACTTGAAATGAATTAGTGGGACCTATCACATCTTCATCACATATCACTTGTTTTCTTTTAATGTTTTAGCATGACAAGTTGTAATTTTAGAAGAGCAAAATTGAAAGGGAGATTAAGAAGGGACAAAAAGGGCAGGGGGAAGGCATTTAAAGGGGATCATAATGGAAAGGAAAGAAAAAAGGAAAGAAAAAGAGCAATCTGACTGTACAAATCACGCTCGCGTGGTTGAACTTGTACCTTTTCCCAAGATGCATCCTGTTTGAAAGGTGCCTAAAAATAGAACACACACACACACACACACACACACACACACACACACACACACACACACACACACACACACACACACACACACACAGATCCACAGAACTCCCTGGGGTGCACTCACTGTCATGCACGGAGACGTATGCTGCAGACACCCGTGTTCAGTCTGTAGACATCATGTTTCCTTGCATTAACTTGTTAACATTTTTATGGAGAAATTGAAAAGTATCAACAGACAAGATGTCAATGCAGCATGGCTCTATATCAGGGGTGGGCAATCCCAGTCCTCGAGGGCCGCTGTCCAGCAGGTTTTACTTGTTTCTCTGCTTAAACACACCTGGTTTGAATCTACTAGTGATTAACAAGCTGCTGCAGAGCCTGATGAGCTGCTGATTAGGTGATTCACCCAGGAATCAGGTGTGTTGGGGCAGGTAAACAACTAAAACCTGCTGGATAGCGGCCCTCGAGGACCAGGAAATGGATGACCCATAAACAAAATCGTCTGACTGCAGAAAAAAACAACACAAAAGCACCTTGTGGTCACTCTTAAAAATACTTTTAAAAATATTTTAACATCAATTTAAAGCATAAATAATTGATTTGATCTTCAAAAGAGGGGAACACACAAAGTGCCATCCAGCTTCAAGCTAACATGTTTTATTAGAGCACATAAAGTCTTAAGAGAAAAACAACTGCCACCTGTTTATTTCTAATGTGATCATTTCACATAGGTTTACTCTGAACAGGGACCAATATCTGCTGAATAATCACTGCATGACATTTACAAGGGCCAAGCTTTACCTGCATTTCTCGCTGTAATCACAGTACAATCACAGAGGCTGGCGCATGAAATTTTTTAATCAAGGCTGTCACGGATTTCCTGTTGCACCTTCTTGTTATTTTCCTGCTTTTCGTCAATAGCTCGTTGATAGCAATTCCGCCTCTCCTTGAAACCACTGAGATCACCATTTTGATGCAGCACTTTCCTTTCAATTGCAAAACCATGAAACTACTCTTGTCTCTTCCCTTTCATTTTTGTACGATCATCTATAATATCAATTTTTTTAAATGGATCTGTCAACTTCTGCTGCATCTACAAAACATTACTTTTTTTTGCAGGAAAAACTGGTTTCTTTGTAGCCACATTGCCTCTTTTTAACTTTTGAGAGGTTGGCAAATCAATCAATCAAATCAATCAAAGATACTTTATTAATCCCAGAGGGAAATTAGAGCTTCAGTACACACAATTCAGAGATCAGACATACTACTTTAATAGAGATAAGAGGGTTACATGAGGAATTGATTCGGGAGGAAGGAAAAAAGGCACTTCACAGCAACCCTCCCACCAGGAGGGCAGCTTTGCTCTGCAAAAAAAACACCTCACTGAAATGCAACGACTTCAGACAACACAACATAACATGAAAAAGGAGGGGGGGGGGGGGGAGATCCTGTTTCCCCCAGCGAGAGCAGCCATCTACGGTGCTCATCTACTGAACAGTCACAGGTGGGAGGGAGATCGTGGGAGAAGCGCAGAGCACATTGACTCCTGCAGATTGATGACCTTGCCAGGCTGAAGTCCACCAATCCAAAGGTGTGTGTGTGGGGGGGGGGGGGGGGGGGGGGGGGGTAGAATCGAGACCAAGTTGGGTATATATGTTGCATGTACTTGCATGGCCATGATAATTCCTGTTGTAGATAAACATAACATGCTTTGTTGCACGAAGATGCCTCACCATTCGGTAGTCCTGACTAAGTGAAAAGAAGAAAATTGACCCGAGTCCATATCTGAGTGCCTGCAGCCTTTTAGCTTCTATCTATTGGAAGTACCTCGTCATCCTCCCACTGCATCCTCTTAATAGTGCCTCACCCTCTCTTTGTTTGTCCGTCCCATTATCTCTTTTATTCTTCTACATTCATTTCTTTTTTCACAAGACGTCTAATGTGAGGTAAACTAGCTCTATTTATAACTGGTCTGTCTTTGTGGTGATGGTCCTCGGGCAACTTGTTTTCACAGATCAACTGCATGCATGAGGCAAATGTAGGAAAGAGGTAGGATGGCCACTTGTCTGGTGCAGCGGAGGGATAGATGTGGCTCATCACTAAGCACAGAGTAAATAGAGCTTGTTTTTACCTTTTTGCTGACATGTTTCAGCTCTCTCTGTAGCCTTCATTGCAGTGTCTTCAACGCTGGTGGCATCACTTCTGTCTCTGTTTATCTGTGGGCAGCAGAGGATGATATTATCCTCTACTGCTCACTCCTTCCCCGTTGATCACCCTGTCCCATGAATGATCCATTTTGTATACTTCTTCATCCATGTTCATGGTTCTGGGTCCACGTCTCCTTATTTTAATTGCTTCTTGTATCCATATTTTATATTTCTGTTGTTCTTTGTTTTTGATCCCAATTCAATTAAATTCAGTTAATTTTTATAGCGCCAAATCACAAGAAGTCATCTAAAGGCACTTCACAAAGTAAACATTCATACAGTTCATTTCATTAAGCAAGTCAGTAAAAAGTGTCCTATCCTCCTCCCCTCTCCTGGGACTTCTTGTGCTACTACACATCTTTGCCTACCCTCCCCCGTCACACTTGGTGTGGAGTGTGGTACCTTGGTCTGCCTGAGTGTTGGCGGCTCCCAGGTCAGGGGATTTAAGATTTTTGGCATCTGCCTGATTAATCCCAGTGGCTGCCTGGTGGGATCTGAGTCCCTGGGCTCTGTTTGGTCCCCGGCGGGGCTGGTCACCCCTGGGTCTCGGGTCACTGGGTTCCGGGCTTGGCCGGCTTGGGGATGGGAGGCTGCGAGCGGGCCTGTGGGCTTGCCGCTGATGTCTCCCGGGACTCTGCCGGCTGCTGATTGTGGCCCCCCAGGGCAATCCTCTGTGTCTCTGGAGGGGGGCACGGACTTTTCTGGTTACAGTCTCCCTGGGCTTCCTGCGCTTTGGGGCAGCTCCTGGATCTCTGGGACTTGGAGCTCCCTCCATCTCCTACACATCTTTGGGGGCAGATCGGTGTCCTCTCACACTCTCTATTGGGTGCTCCTATAGAGAAACCTTAAATATACAAGTGCATGTACGCACACAGGTGCTCACATAGGTGTGGACTTGGGCATTTTCAACACATGTCTTAAGGCTGCGGTTGGCACTAAATGCACTATGATGTATTATCGTGTGATTGTTCAGCAAAAAAAAATTGATTTTATATTTCCTCATCAGTTTGATGCAGTGATAGCTTGCTCCTGTTGTATTGTTGTGTGTCCCTTTCCTGCAGGTCTCGAAGCAGACTCTTGTTCATCATTGACTGTTCATCTTTTGGGTTTTTTCATTGCTGCTATTGTTTTGTTTTTCTTTTGTACCTTTGATGTACAGGTGCTGGCCAGTAAATTAGAATATCATCAAAAGGTTGAAAATATTTCAGTAATTCCATTCAAAACGTGAAACTTGTACATTATATTCATGCAATGCACACAGACCAATGTATTTCCAATGTTCATTACATTTAAATTTGATATTTATAGGTGACAACCAATGAAAACATCAAATCTGGTATCTCTGAAAATTAGAATATTCTAAAGGCCAATGAAATAATGTTTGTTTCTCTAATGTTGGCCAACTGAAAAGAATGAACATGAAAAGAATGTGCATGTATAGCACTCAATACTTAGTCGGGGCTCCTTTTGCCTCAATAACTGCAGTAATGCGGCGTGGCATGGACTCGATCAGTCTGTGGCACTGCTCAGGTGTTATGAGAGCCCAGGTTGCTCTGATAGTCGTCTTCAGCTCCTCTGCATTGTTGGGTCTAGCGTATTGCATCCTCCGCTTCACAATACCCCATAGATTTTCTATGGGGTTAAGGTCAGGCGAGTTTGCTGGCCAATCAAGGACAGGGATACCATGGTCCTTGAACCAGGTGCTGGTGGTTTTGGCACTGTGTGCAGGTGCCAAGTCCTGTTGAAAGGTGAAGTCTGCATCCCCATAAAGTTGGTCAGCAGCAGGAAGCATGAAGTGCTCTAAAACTTCCTGGTAGACGGCTGCATTGACCCTGGACCTCAGGAAACAGAGTGGGCCAACACCGGCAGATGACATGGCACCCCACACCATCACTGACGGTGGAAACTTTACACTGGACCTCATGCAACGTGGATTCTGTGCTTCTCCGCTCTTCCTCCAGACTCTGGGTCCTTGATTTCCAAAGGAAATGCAGAACTTGCTTTCATCAGAAAACATAACTTTGGACCACTCAGCATCAGTCCAGTCCTTTTTGTCCTTGGCCCAGGCGAGACGCTTCTTGCGCTGTTTCTTGTTCAAGAGTGGCTTGACACACGGAATGCGACACCTGAATCCCATGTCTTTCATGAGTCTCCTCGTGGTGGTTCTTGAAGCGCTGACTCCAGCTGCAGTCCACTCTTTGTGGATCTCCCCCACATTTTTGAATGGGTTTGTCGTCACAATTCTCTGCAGGGTGCGGTTATCCCTAGAGCTTGTACACTTTTTTCTACCACATTTTTTCCGTCCCTTCGCCTGTCTGTTAATGTGCTTGGACACAGAGCTCTGCGAACAGCCAGCTTCTTTAGCAATCACCTTTTGTGTCTTGCCCTCCTTGTGCAAGGTGTCAATGATTGTCTTTTGGACAGCTGTTAAGTCAGAAGTCTTCCCCATGATTGTGGTGCCTTCAAAACAAGACTGAGGGACCTTTTAAAGGCCTTTGCAGATGTTTTGAGTAAATCAGCTGATTAGAGTGGCAGCAGGTGTCTTCTATATTCAGCCTTTTCAGAATATTCTAATTTTTTGAGATACCAAATTTGGAGTTTTCATTAGTTGTCACTTATGAATATCAAATTTAAATGTAATGAACATTGGAAATACATTGGTCTGTGTGCATTGCATGAATATAATGTACAAGTTTCACGTTTTGAATGGAATTACTGAAATATTTTCAACCTTTTGATGATATTCTAATTTACTGGCCAGCACCTGTATAGAAGGGTTATCACTGGTTTTGGCATGGGGCATGGTGATCAGTGGGAAAGGTGCAGGCTGTAGAGGGCGATGTTGTTGTTGGCTGTGATGCTGCCCACAGAAAAACATACAAAAGTGATGCCACCAACATTGGTAAAGCTCTGACAAATGCTAAATTTCCAGTATCCTGAGAAGGCAGAAATAAACTGGCTAAATTAAAAAAATAAATAAAACAGTAGAAAAAAGTTACATAAATTGCATGATGCCTTTAATAATGACTAAATCACTACATGTGATATCTCATCAAAATAAAAGCCCTTCAGCGGTTTGTAAAGTCAGTCAAAGTCTTTCATTTTGAAACATTTGAAGGCAAATCACTTAAAACTACAGCAGGAAGGGGTTTAATTATGACAAAATTGAGTGGATTAAATTGGAAATAAGTAATACTTGCATTTTGTACTCATCTTCCTCTTCTCTGGATCCAGATCACGATGAAGCAGCCCTAGCATGAAAGCCCGTACCTTCTTTTTCCCAGTCCCTTTTCACCAGCTCCTGCAGTAAAAGCCCTGAGCAGTCCTGAGCCAGCCTTGAGATCTAATCCCTCCAGCATGTCCTGGGTCAACCCAGAGGCCTCCTGTCAGCAGGAGATGCCTGAAACACTTACCCCAGGAGGTGTCCAGGAGGCAGCTCTGTGTCAGAGATCCTCACCCTATCTTTAAGGCTTTATCTTTTTTATTTCACTGCTCTGTTAGTCCAGAACTGATGATCATAGGTGAGTGTTGGAGCGAAGACCGACTAAGTTCACCATTTATTTTTTAGTCTGCCTTAGCTTCTATTATCACAACAGAACTTTAGTTTTTATATCTTTTCCATATGATTTTTTGGTGTTTGTCAGAACTGATTGTGTTCATCGTTTTTTAAAGGCAAAGTTCACTAAGCAACCTTTTTTTATTTGTTATTTTTCAAATATTGTCAGTCACTCTGAGTCTTAGATGCAGGCTGAACATGAAAACAGTCTTCTACCCTTATTTCCTGCAAGAGCTGGCAATAAAAATCAGTTGTGAAAATGCTCAGATTAGAAAAGCCTGTCAGATCTACGTTATGCAGAAAATTATCATTCATAGACTCACCAATCTTTGGTTGTGAAGGGGAAGGGTGTAGATTTAGCATCCAGGTAAGATCACTTTCAGCTAGTGGAAGCTAACCGTTAGCATTAACAACTCCACCACACAGCAGAACTCATTCAGGTTTGTGTTATTTGTGGAGATAATACATCAGTGTTGCAAAGCAAACAAAGTCAGTGGCAGAGTTGCGTTGCTGTTAGCTAATCAGAGGCAAGATGTCTGGATATCAGGTGGGACGCATTTTAACAGTTGTGTCGAAGAGAACATGCCTCTCAAGATTTGCTTGGCCTATTGTGGGACGGTACATATGAGCAAAATCTGAGGCGACATTTTAATAAATTTGTACTTATAACATGTTACTTATCCATTTGTTTCCTTAACAAAATTATGATTTATGGGCAGACAAATGAAATACATGACAATTTGAAAAAAATAATAACAAATCTTTTAAATGTTTGTATCTGTGCTGATCCGAGCTGAGACTCTGCCCGTTTTTTGGTCACAAACCTCTGCGACCAAAGACTCTCCTATTATTTGTATTAGTGGGGGATCCAGCTTGCATGGACCAGTAGCATAAATCAATGCAAGAAATTACTGCACCCAAAAGGAACTACAAATATAAGGGCTGCATGGTGGCGCAGTGGTTAGCACTGTTGCTTCGCAGCACGAAGGTTGCAGGTTCGAAACTCGGCTGCTGCCTTTCTGTGTGGAGTTGCGCGTTCTCCCCATGCATGCGTGGGTTTCCTCCGTGTACTCTGGTTTCCCCCACTGATCACAACATGCCCTATAGGTTATAAATTGTAAGTTGCTTTGGATAAAAGCGTCTGCCAAATAAATAAACATAAACATAAATATGACACAAGACGATTCGGCCGTGGTAAAAGTGTGAAAGAACATTTTTAAACTTAAATGCATATTATACATAGCACTTATAGTCTGTATGACACATAAATTCTTTAGTTTCATTTTCATGTTTTTTTTAATATTTTGTGATTCCTAACATCTTTTTTTCCTGTGAGACTGATGGGACAGCAGTAGCTCAGGAGGTAGAGCAGGTTGTCCAGTAATTGGAATGTTGCAGGTTCGATCCCGTCTCCAACCAGATGCTGCCTTTGTGTCCTTGGACAAGACAGAGGGACCGGTCGCGCCAGTGTTCGGCAGGCCTTGCCCCTGTCAGTGCGCCGCAGGGCGGCTGTGGCTACATCGTAGCTCATCATCATCAGCGTGTGAAGGACTGATTGTGTTGTGAAGCACAGCTGGGGGTTGTTAGAAGGTGATATACAAATGCAGCCATTTACTGCAAATATCAGAACAACTTTTAATAATCTTTCAAACTTGATTCTATGATTTTTCAGTTTTGCCTATTTTCTTATGTTAGTTTTATGTTTTTCACATGCAGACACACAGAAACGGAGATTCAATTTACTAATTAATTGTCATTGTTTGAAAAGAACAGTGAGTCAAATGTAGGAAAGAAGAATCTGGAGGTAAAGTAAAATAAAAAAGGCTTTTATCCTCTTAAATTGGATAATCCAAGGAATCAATTCCAGTGATACGAGATTACAATATAATTATATTCTTTGAAAATATTTGAAAAAAAAAAAAGAAACACTTGAGGCATGACTCAAAGCCATAAAAACCAGAAGTAGAAAGCTGCTAAACAAAGAGTAACAAAAGAGAAGACACTGGCTGACAAGAATAAAGGTAACCAAAACATCAGAGAGGGTAACAGTAAAACTAAGAACAAATTAAAGAGCTTTGCCAGGATTTATGTCCTTCCAACAGAACTTTGTATGCACTACAGTTAGGAGAATATTTATTTGTTCCCTGTCATTTGCCTCCAACATTGAACTTGCTAATAAAGCTGATCTTTTTGTCACTTTCAGTGGGTAATTTTCCACAGTGGAGCGGATGTTAAAGACATATGACTTTTGACAGACTGTCTCAACTTCGACGTTGCAACTGTAAATCCTGACACTTGTTTTATGGCACATTATGAAAATCTGACAGACTTTGTGAATCCTATATTGGTTTGATGGCTGACTTTATGGGCTGAGTGAAAATAAGCTGTATCAAAGTTTTCTTTAGCTGCATGTCAGTTTTGCAACTTAATTTAGATCACTTTAGAACATTCTAGACAAAATTACAACTAAATGTTTCCAAATATTCTAATAACCATAGGTGCTATTCATTTGTATTAAATCATTTTATAATATTTATGTATGCATGTAGTTTTCTGCTAAGTTAGCTAACAGCTCATGAATAATTTAATTGAAAAAAAAAGTATTTATTTATTTATTTATTTTATATTATTGAGATAATCTTATTTGGAGCAGCTTCAGACATTCAGCCAGGAGTCACATCAAGCTCCAACTCTATTTTGACATTTCCAAATCAGCTCTGAAGCCACAGCACTGATGGATCTGGCAACAGCAGCCGGCTCCTGACGGGCTTGGACATTATGCAGTTTCTAATATTTTTGGCTCAAAGTCCCCTAAGTAGTGTCAGCATGCAGTGACAAACATCTGAACACACATTATCTTATCATTGAAGCTGCAGAGACTGGGCATTTCCTGCCAAGTTTCTAATTATTACATTTTTCCTTTATTTACTGTCTCTGAATTACTCTATTTCTGCTGAAAACCCTACCCAATAAATGTTGTTTTCAATTCAATTCAGTTTATTTATATAGATTCAGATCACGGCACGAGTTGTCTCAAGGCACAATTCTGCAGTTTTTACTCATTTAAAATTGTTTTGTGATTGAACAAAAATACCAACAGCAACAACTAAATAATGCATTTTACAATCAGTAACTACATGTAACTGCATAATATTTTAGCCATTATGAAAAGAAAAATTTAACTGGATAAAAGTGAAATGATGCTGATTTTACACAATTTGGATGAACCCTTTTTTATTTATCAATGAGCAACACAAATTTTCAGCATTTTTTTATTTTATTTTGAGATCAGAGAAAGTTTTGGAAGTAATATTGTAAATATATTTATCAGTGGCGGCTGTTGATTTTTTTTTTATATGGTGGGGCGTATTTCAACAAATGTTGTGCTGATAAACGACTTGCCTGCCGAGATAGTTGCATGCTCAAATGCGAGAAGATGCATATTAGTAATGAGCCAGTCTTTAATATTAGCAGCTGCCATGCCAACGCGAAGGGCAAAGCTAAATGCTAACAGCTAGCCAGCAAGAGCAAGGATACTGGAACTAGCAATTACAGTGAAGTTCTGTACTGAACAACTGAACGGCTACTCACTGTGCAAAATTAACACCGACCAAAAATATCACCATCAGAACATAAAACAAGAGACTAACAATAACCAGCACATCCCTAGTAATAGAATCCCCACAAAACACCAGAAAACACACCAAAATAGAACAAAATAACTGAAAACCAGCTACCCACAATGCACCTCGCCCGCTGCCCGTTCTACAGTGGGTGGGGTCACTACTGAATGAAGATCAGACTGAGATCCTCATCTATGCCCCAGACAAGCTGGTTCCCAAAGTCAGAGACTCTCTTGGTCAGCTTGCTTCTCACACCAAACCTTCTGTCAGGAATCTTGGTGTGACCTTTGACCCAGTTCTCACCCTGGATTCTCATGTCAGTTCTCTTGTTCGCTCTTCCTTCTTCCATCTCAGGAACATTGCTAAGCTGAGTCCCACTCTGTCTCGCTCTGAACTTGAGACAGTTATCCACACCTTCATCTCCTCACGCTTAGACTACTGTAACTCTCTTTTCATGTGTCTGAGCAGAACCTCCCTGAACCGTCTGCAGGTGGTTCAGAATGCCTGTGCTCGGCTTCTGACCAAGTCCTCCAAACACACCCACATCACCCCGCTTCTCTTCCAGCTTCACTGGCTGCCAGTCAACTTCAGGGTTCATTTAGAGATCCTGGTTCTGGTCTATAGGGCCTTACATGGACAAGCACCATCTTACATTGGTGATCTTAGTCCCTACACCCCCAGCAGGTCCCTGAGGTCCAGTGATCAAAGCCTACTGGTTGTGCAGCGCACCAGGCTAAAGACCAAAGGTGACAGATCATTTGCTGCTGTGGCCCTTAGACTGGAACTCTCTCCCCCTGAGCCTGAGATCAGTGGACTCAGTGGTCTCCTTTAAAAAGCAGCTGAAGACTCACTTGTTCAAAGTGGCTTTTGTATGACCTTCTTCACCACTCTCTCTTTATTCTGCTCTCCCCACCTATTCCACCTTCCTCAGGATCCACTGATTTCCCTCTTTCCTATTCACTCTCTCTCTTTCTTAACATTTTTTATCACAATTGTCTCTTTTTGCTTATTTTAAATATATTTTTAAACATTTTCTAAATGCTTTTTTATATTTTTACAATTTTTGTTTTCGTGAAGCGCCTCGTGATTTTTATCTTGAGAAGCACTATAGAAATGATATTTTCTTCTTCTTTTCTTCTTCTACACTACACGGACTAGATGTAACAAAGTTGTTCCAAAAACATGCTTAATATTCACTAAATATGTGTAAATGAACACAGCTAGTTTTGCTAAGTCAAGTGTAAATTCAGTCTTACCTTTGTTGGTTTATGGTCTTAATGATTTGTTATAATACACAAATCCCATTTTTTACCTGCTGAAGAGTGTTACCTGCTAAGTCTCTGATGCTACATTCCATCATTTTCCAGTTCTTCATAATAAGAAAAACTCTATGAGGTGTACTCGGCTGCTCTACAACAACAAAGGACGGTGAACTGTAGAGAATTTGTGATTCTGTCCTGACCTGAGCTGAGACTCTGCCTCGCCGGTCTTCTGCGCATGTTTTCGTGGTCACAAAACCTCTGCGCCTAAAGGCGCTCCTATTCTTTTACAATGAAGGGGGATCCAGCACGCATGTGCCAGATACAGCGTAGGTCTATGGTAAAGATTTTTGTGTGCAAAAGGAACAGGAAATACATCACAGGATGAATCAGTCAAAGTGTAAAATAACATTTTCAAACAACACTTTAATGCAAATTATATGAAGCACTTATAGTATGTATGATTTTCGGTTAAATAGTTATGTTTTCATTTTTTAATCTATCCATCGATCCATTCCCATTTTCAATTAATTAATCTGACGAGAGAGAGAGAGAGAGAGAGAGAGAGAGAGAGAGAGAGAGATACTAGTACTTAATACTTATTATAAAGTGTCCAGGGCTACACAGTGGTGCAGTGGTTAGCGCTGTTGCCTTTCAGCAAGAAAGTCCTGGGTTCAGTTCCTGGCCTGGGGTCTTGCTGCAGGGAGTTTGCATTCTCTCCCTGTGCATGTGTGGGTTCTCTCTGGGTACACTGGCTTCCTCCCACTTGCTTCCAAAAACATGACTGTCATCTCTCTAAATTAGTCCTTAGGTGTGTGTGTACAGTTGTTTGTCCTGTGTGTCTCTATGTTGCCCTGCGATGGACTAGCAACATGTCCAAGGTGTACCCCACCTGTTTGCTCGAACACTACTGGAGACAAGCACCAGCTCCCTGCGACTATGCATGGATAAGCAGGTACAGAAAATGGATTGATGGATAAAGTGTCACAGATGATTTAAGAACATATCAATAAACAGTTTTTAGCTACTTATATAAAGATCCTTATTCTAAAGCAGTACACAATTTCCTGTCTCAGCCTCTTTGTTGCAACTTGTTTTTATCTGTCATGGGAGGTGAAACCTGCTCATGACTGGTGAGCATTTGTTTCTCAAAACGATTTTTGTGTCCCAGAAAACACTTTCTTTTGATGGAGCCATCTAAATGTGGAGTTTATATGTATCTGTTGCCACTTGTGCCAGATGTCTACTTATCAAACAACGATGGGAAACAGTTCAGTCTCATTGATTATGTCTACATTTACTTACTAATTATTTTATTATTATATTATTATTCAAATAAAGGATACATATAAGGCTGTATTTTAGTTACGAGGAAAGTCAAAAGGATGCTAAGTTGTGTTTATTGTGTTATAATTAAATTTACATTTATCTTTGCATTTAATCCTTGCATAAACTGCAAGTTTTTGTTTGTGTCCAATAAAAGCTCTTGATGTCATCAAACAAATTAAAAAGCTGCAACTGTTTTCTGGTCAGATTTAATTGGATAGATGGATGTTTAAAACTCTGTATGAAGAGGAACAGAATAGTTTTATTTAATTATTTATATTTATTTTTATTTTTTTGCAAAAATCTGCTGGCTATAGAGCGTCTCAGGAATGGATTACATTACCCAAAAATAGAGAATTCAAGAGCATGCATCCTTTTAAGAACTCATTCAAATGTTATTATAGCAGTGGTTCCATCTAAATGTTTAGTGTGTTTATTGCAAATTAGAACCCATGAGGTTAATACACTGAGTTCTGGATGAAACTGAAATGTGTGATTTGCTTGATTGTATAAAGCCAGATCTAAAGTTGATGTTGTATATTTTGTGAATTGGACTCCAGGAAGATTAGATTACACTTTGGTGTAATCTAAAGGGGATCCTGATAAATAAATAAACAGTTAAAGTGACTGTGTGTAGTTTCCCTGGAGATAGGGGCAGTGCATACCTAAATGATTTCAAGCAAGCATTACTTTTGTCTTCAAGTAAGACCTTATCAAC